ACCCCTTCAATTATAATATATAAGTATCAATATTCGTAGTAGGCGCGCGGTAAACTAGTGTTGCGCGAATGCGTGAAAATCGCAAAATAGCGAACTTCATTAGGCCATAACTTCAAAACTAAGTCCGTGCGCCAAATTTGGACTTCACCATCGTTTTCAGCGTGCTTAACTACATTAATTTCAAAAAAAAAAATTGCAAAAAAAAGGGTGTCCGGTAAAGTAGAAATATACCAAAAAAACAAAGCTCACTGATGATATTATAATACTTTATAGAATTATGTAAGTGTCACGTTTATTACTATTATTATTTTTAAACAAAAAAACATTAAATCATAAATAATAATAATTATTATTATTATTGCGTAATTTTGTATACCCACATAAAAAAAATTATATTTATTTTTAAAAAAGAAATGTATGCATAAAATCATATATTATAATTATTATTGTTATTGTACCAATATAATACATCATATTATGTTATTAATGTTGTAAATGTATTTTAGATTCTGAATCATAAGCACAGTTTATTTTTATAGTCATTTTAAGTTCAACTTTGGACAAAATTACATAACAAAATAGGGCGGTCATGCTTAAAAAGATGCTCTGCTGTACAGTAGGAGTAGGTAGGTTACAAGTGGGCCACTGTATAGTGGAAGGTATTAAATTTTAATTCAATGATATAATATCATTGTATAAGAAAAACGATTCTGAGCGGTGACGGTATGTCAGGTTAGGTATAGGTATCTAAGACATATTGAGGAAATTCTGGAGCGGCAAACGTTTTGCAGAACAAACGCCGACGTTTGAAACGTTGAAGAGGTAGAAATTCGTGAGCGCTTGGTATTTTGTTAAACCGCGGTCGTGGTGTATGACATAAAAAGTAAATCGTGATAAGTCGTGATAGTAATAGTGATAACGATCGGCAAAAGTACAAACAAAGACAACCACGGTTATGGTTACTAGAACGAAACAGACCAAACGCTGGATTAGGGCGTTTACAATGTTTGCAAACGTTTACAGCAACCGTTTAGCAACCGGACGTTCCGAATTTCTCCGTTATCAAACGTTTGCAACGTTTGCCGCTCCAGAATTTCCTCATTATATACTTATCTACGGTATTAAAAAAAAATTGACCTACCTATAAATTATAATAAATTACAAATTAATCATATCACAATATCCATTAGGTACTTATAATGCGTTATACATCAACAACAAACCCTGATACTATATCATAGATATATACTAGTGTACTTTAGAAGTTTCAAGTACCTACGAATAATATTATACAATCACAATAAAATAACTAAATCAGTTATTCTAGGTTTTTTATTAAGTAATTTCGTCCAAATTTGAACTTAAAATGACTATAAAAATACAATTTTGTTTATATATTTTTTAGATTTCTTGGTAACAGAATTAACTACTTACGTGGAATCTTGTTTTAAATTTTCAATCCTTAGATATAAAAGTTGAACATTTTATAAATTTTTATAATTTAACTATTTTCAAAATTGTATGGTGTATAGGAAATGCTGATAAGAACATTCAGTGAAATTTTCATGTATCTACAGTTATTCGTTTTTGAATTACAACAAAATAAGGAAATCGCTACATGAGAAATCGAGTGAATATAAAATTTTGTCAACATTTGAATTTCAAACGCTCATTAAAATTTAATTTACGGGTACATCAACTGTATGCAGCCGCGCTATTTGCCAAATAGGTTGGGGCTGAGCTATATACTAATCTATGGGGCGGAGCTCGCTCATTGTACTATCACAGAATATTGTGGTATTCTGTGGTACTATTAAGCTGTTATCACTGATACACGGCCGTCGCAGGGTCGCACGTCTGTTATCATTTGGTCGTAAAATATTATAATGAGAATGCTTAGATCATATACTATTTTTATTTTTCTAGTATATGATCTAAGTGAGAATGGCTAAATAACATTTAGCCATGGTGTAGATTAGGCCGGCACGGCGGCACCGGCCAGCAAGTCACGCCCGCGCGGGGTAGTTCGTTCGCTGCACACGGTTGACGCGTACGTCATTCACAGGCGCGAATCGCCAATAATTTTATTATTATATTATTCCGTCCGGCTCGAATAGTCATCAAATTTGGTATTATCGTTGGGCGCTATTAATCGCCAACAATAAGTGCGTTGTTATAAGCGTATCGTTTTTGATATTGCTTTTTATAGTGCGCCCGGGAGCCGCCTAGAAAATAGTGCGTTAATAATTTATCATACCGTGATGGCGAATGCCGAATCGTCACATAACATACCTATTATTACTGTCAATTTGTTGCCGTGTATGCAAGTCGCCGCTGACACGTCTTATTATTGTTCAAAGGCAATTGTTATTCTGTTCTGAAGGCGCGAATCGCTTCGCTTATATTATTGTGTGCGAGCACAACCATGGATTTTTGTTATAATTAAACCGTTTTAATTGAGCATAAATCGCCGCCGTTGTATTTTTGTTTTATGCGTGTGAATCACGGTGTTATTATTGTCTGGTTCGAATGGCTTCGTATATTAACTTATTATTATATTGTGTGTGTAAATTATTATAAAGCTTTTATACGGGCACAGGTTGAGCAGCTGGCCAGCAGTTCACCGACAAAATTGTGAGTTGTTCATATTATTATTTTTATCAAATATCATTATTATTCTGTTAGGCTGGAAGGTCCATTTATTATTATATTTCATACATTATTGTGTTATTGTGTATTATCATATTATATTATATTGTGTATTATCAAAATAATTAATTAAAACAGCAACTTAGTACTTAAACCTCCTGTTATTAAATATTTAAGGTTACCCAGTTGTCCTTTAGTTTTAAGCACACACACCACACGCATACATGCATATTTACACACCCACCGGCCACCACACACTAGCATTCGATAGTCGTGTTCGGCAAACCCGTCCACCTAATAGCTAATACCTATATACACATTTAACACAGGTTGGTCAGTGTGCATAGGCGTAACAGAGTATGTACGGTGACCGGGCGCACATTCTAATATTGTAACGTTCCCGGCACAATCAGTAGTAATTCCAGTTACAAATTAACATAAAATTCATTTGAGATCTACCTATATAAACTTGAAATATTTACACATTTGTTTTTTGTTAATACATTTAAATATTTACATAAATACTATATTTAAATAGTAACGCACTTTCAAATTAGCAATAAACATTATAAATATTTTATAGTTATAGTAGAATATAAAATAGACTCAAAAAAAAATAACAAAAAATTTAAAAATAAAAAAAATAACAACAATAGAACAACTATAAATTGTTTTGCATTTTATTTTTTTACAATAATAATACATTCAATCATAAGCAATGATGATAAAAATAAAAATTTGTTATTGACATATATAAAGCAAATAATTTTATATAGATTTATAATTATAGGTATTATTTTATAAATACTAAATAACTATAAATTGTATAATAATAATAATAACAATAAAAATAACTATATTATATTAATAAATATATTTGGAACTAGTAAATACATTTGAATATTTACATGTGTACGGTAAACTAGGCAAATATCTAATATCAAAGTACCAACTATGCACAAAAAATTAACACAATCCACATAGGTACTTATATATTGGTCCAAAAATTTACATTATACTACCAATAGAAATTAAACACAGCAACTCTTTTAAGATTCTTAAAAAAAAAATTACACTTTGGCTATTACAAGAACAAAATATAGACAGATTCATAACAAACGTATAGGATTACAGCATTATTTATAATATTAGTATACGACTTTAGTAATTATTATTAATTTTAGTTTTGTATTACCATATTATATTGTATTATTTAACTACATAATTTTTTACATACTACTAAATTATATAAACCTCGATATAAACAAAGAGATGAAAATATATTATATTACTTATATTATTAATATTATAGTTAGGTATGTGAGAAATGTATGTTACAAATTGTAATTATTTAACTTATAAGAACTATTTAATGTATTTATATTTCAAATTGTGAACTCATGGGCCCCCACACGAACATGTTCAGTGGGGCCCATTATCTTCTTGAAGATTAAATAAAAATAAAAAAAATAAAAAGTACACAGAGCATATTATACATATATATACTTATTGATCACAATACTAGTATGTATAATACTATACATCACTATAATATATATGCAGTGTTGGGTAAGTTACTTTTAAAAAGTAATTAAGTTACTTTATTCGTTACTCAAATAAAATTGTAATTTAATTACTTTACTTTTCGAATAGAAAAGTATAACTCATTACTTTCACGTTACAAAAAAAAAAAAATTTAATTTCTTGGCAATTATCTTCTGCAAGCGAATTGAACAAGCAAATTCTTTATAAAACCTGTATAGTTAATAGGATCGTATAAAACTTAGTCTTCTACACATGCTAATAGGAAACCTATTAAATAATAAATTTAATTAACTGTTTTCGTGATTTGCGAGGTGATTTGTATGGTGTAATTAGACATTTCAAATGTCAAAACCATGGAAAACTGAATTATGGCGAATTAAAATCAAATATGTATACAAATTACTAATTAGATTGGTTAACATACTAATACCCACATTATACATATATTTTTTTTTTCAATTCGCAATAGGTAGTTAATTATTATTAAATAATTTGAAACTGTAACACGTTATTCTATAGAAATTACTTTTAAAAAGTAATTTACATTACATTTTTGTTATTTGGAAGTAATTCTAATGAAATTACGTAACGTGTTACAAGCAAAGTAACGCATTACTTTCGTTATGTTACTACCCAACACTGTATATATGAACATTTATTTAAGTTATACATTATTTTATAATAATAAATATTTTCAATAATGGATATAGGCGAGGATATAGGTATAATAATGATTAGTTAAAGTTTAGATTTATTAATGTCATTTTCAGACATGGCGTTTATATTCGTTCCTATACCTGCCAATATCATATTGATTTACCATTTCTGACTATATTCTCAAAACTTTGCTCCATATTTTGCTGTGATTGTTCAGTAGGCACGAAAACAACAGGTTTATTCTCTAATACAATAAAAATAATTACTTATAGGTACTATGTGAAAAATATATAATAATATGATTTACTTACCATCTATTTGATTGCTTTCTGACTGAGCAGAGCTTAGAAACACTTCACCATTTATATTTTCAAGAAAGGTATCTGTAATATCTGTTATTATAATCACAATTTTTAAGAACATACTGGAGTACAAGTATTTTAATATTAAAATAGTTACCATAGGATTCTTCAACTAAATCAGGGCTTTTCTGAAATATGTCTAAACTATCATTGTAGCTAAAATTATTTTCTCCTAAAAATCAAAATAATTAAGAAACAAAAACATTATGACTTAAGTAAAATATGTTAAACAATATTATAATAATTATATAAGTAAAATTCTAAATTACCGAATTTTAACTGTTTTGATCTAAACCCGCTGTTATTGCTGATATGTTTTTAAATATTTGGCGTAGTTATATTATTAAGTGCATAGCAATAATCATTTTCTACAGATAAACTACTATCCTCGTTAATATCTGAACATAAATTAGGAGAATGAGCATTAAAATAATCTAATTGTATATTACAAAAATTTCAGAATTTGTGTCTTAGACTCGATCTTTGATTACTTTATTAACACTACTTGGAACATTGTGTTCCAAAAGATTTAAGTTGTTTTGATCAACTCTGTTGACTTCTTATTGAATATGTCGACAAAGTTGCCTCTTAGATAAATCGTTTAAACTTTTATGCTTATGAAAATTTGCCCTACAAAGGAAACTGTAAGTTAACATAAAAGACTAAATACTGTAGATATATTATATGAATTACTTTAGTAATGAGGTAAGTTTGGTGTTAAAATACACCATTTGGAGTTTAAACACACATTTTATTGAATAACAAATAGTTAACTTACCTGTTGTCCATGTTGGAAGTTGAAACAAAATGAGCAATGAGATTTAGTTTTTCCAATCCACAGACCCATCGTTCCATCTGTATTCACCAGTACTCATCAGCTCTACTGCACCCTGCAATTTAAATATTATTAAATCGTTCTTATTAAACACTAAAATTAATGTTCATATACATTTTTAGATTTTGAGTGGAAGGATTGGCTGTGTTTTATTTTTCGCAGTTTCTGGAAACAAATTGGAGTTTGTAATCTTTCTATAAAAATAGTTAAAAGAAAAAAAATTTAAGGGTTTGTTACGAGTTAGTGCTGTCAATTTTGTACATATAGATATATAAATAAAGATAAGTCGCCTAGGTATATATAATATAAAACATTTTAAATTATATATTATGAAACTTGATGGTAAGAACATTATCTGTGTTTGTATGTGAGTATTTTTACGATAGTTCAATTTATTAAGTGAGTTATAAGCATTTTTAATTAATTAATTTATTTATTTAATATAAACGGACGTCAGTCCTAAAACATAATAATATTAACATTGTTTTACACATTGATACTTAAAACAATAATTTATAGTTAAATATATACTTAAAATTAGATAATGAGTAAAATAATAATGCTAAAGTAGATATAAAATACAAATCAAATATACAAGTTATTATTCATTATGCTATATTAGATATGCATAACTTACTAAAAAATTGAACTATCGTAAAAAAAACTCACATACAAACACAGATAATGTACTTACCATCAAGATTCATAATAGGTCGATTCACTCTAATTTTTAAACTAGCGGAACTAAACACATTCTCCTGAGAGTAAACTTGCTATGTTACGCACTTGTTAGACAAAGACAACAAATTACTATGTGGCGTATTCTTAATGACGGTATACTTGGCCAGTGTTTAAATTCTTGTTGGTTCTTCAATATTTTTTAAAGCTAGAAACACAATATAAAAATGTAAACATTTATATAATGTTCACTTTAATATTGAAAATCACTAAACTGTATTGGAAAATATGCGTAACATTAGTATAGAACATGTAAAATAGTGACAATCATTTTACTAGCATTATACTGTTATGACTCGTGTTATGATTTCAATTTTTGAAATGTATAACACATTAAGGGGATGTCAGAGCACTATTTGTTTTCTCTCTTAACATAGACAAAACGTATTTACGCAGAATCATTTTTCTATGTTTTTAAGTAATCTTTAAGTAAAATCACCAATTACAAAAAATATAGAGAATAATATTTTTGAGGAAATGACATCGATTTGTCTAAGTATTGTCTCAAAACAATTTAAACATAATTTAAACTTACAACATTTTTTGGTTTATTTTGAAAGTCAAATACAAAATCAAATAATAATAAAATATAAAATTGATATGTCATTACCTCAAAAATATTATTCTCTATCTTTTTTTGTAATGGGTGATTTTACTCTAACATTATTTAAAAATGTTTTGTCTATGTGGAGCATGGGCCAGAGAAAGAAAAAAAATAGTTCGCTGATATCCTCTAAAGAGGACACCATTCCCGCATGTGTTGTCTCCATCTTACAAAAGCGTAACATGTCAAATTTATGCTCAGAAATTCAAGTTCTATGCCGTTAGCTTAAAATTTGAGTGAATTATGAAACCTATTATGAAGCTTGATGGTAAGAACATTATTTTTGTTTTGTAGGCAGTTAGGTTAATTAATTCAGTTTTTAAGTGAGTTATGAGCATCTTTAATTAAAATTTATTATATACGCTATAACTTAATTAAAATGTGAATCATCGTAAAAAAAAACTTCCAACAAAATACAGATAATGTTCTTACCATTAAGTTTCATAATAGGTTTCATAAATCGCTCTAATTTTTTCCGCTATAATTGATCTATATAGTAAATTAAAACAAAACAATCTAGAATTAGGTAATTATAAAATTAAAAAAAAAATAATAGGTATTTAAAATTAAATTACTTGGCATTCATATTTAGACTATCTACACATTTCCTAAATGTAAAGATACTACAACGTACTGTCACCACACAAATCCTCACGTTGTATTAGTAATGTAACTGCCTGTTGGTTGGCTGCAAAAAATCTTGACTCCCCTTCTGGTGCGGTAGTGTTTCAAACTGTAATAAATATAAATTATAATTATGAGCATCCAATGCTTAAGTTTATTTTCCAACAAATTATGTAGGTATTATATGTATATAAAATAAAAATATCCATCACCGTAACATCTGCTTTTCTGTTAACACAACAAGACATAAATGTTACTAATTTAATTGTTCACTGTATACCTAGTGATTACAATTCGGTTTTAACATACCCATTTCTAATGGCTTGCATCCAATGCATTTGACTGTAACCTCAGAAACAATGCAATTCAGGAACCAAAAGTTGAACTTCTAATGCCAACTATTGCATACAAAAAGAAAATTAATAACAAACTTGTAAAAAAATGAATATGTATAATATATTAAATATATTTACCTTCATTTTAATATATTTATCCATTTCTGGCTCAGACGTTACTCAGAGTATCATTTTGGAAACATGACAATACCGTACTCCTAGTCCAATATTGCCATGACTTCTAAATAACTTGTATAATAATATGTTTGTTGCGTTTCTTCTATGGGCCGTAAATCTCTTGATGAGTCCTACAACAATAAAAGCAATATTTATTTTTAATAATTGTTAGTTTGGCCAGAAACTTCGCTAGCGCAGAGAATATAAACGGGCAAAATTATCACCTAAAAAAATGTTGATAAATAAGTAGGTACTTTGTATGTCTGTGTTCGCGACTCATATATCGATCCGGTCCGTGAAAACAATGGTGATCCCACTCCGCGCTTCAGCCGATATCAGCGGTTGTTCGATGCCGACGCCGTACGTCCGGCAAGTTCGTAGCCGCGCGTCCGTGAGTAGTTCATTGTTGTTCTCGGGTGCGTTCGACGTTACCACGGCACATCGAGTCCGTGCGTCGTTACTATCGTAATACTGTGCACTATTTATTAGTTGGGTCCAACTTGGCAGTCGTCTGGACTGACTAACGTACAGTGCACCTTGCGGTATAGTGCATCTGTTGTTTGGATCATCAAGTGATTTTGCTCACGTTCGAAAGCGACCGGTACGACGCCAGTGATACGGTAACGACATCAATCGTCGGTGGTATTTTATATTGTTCTATGGTGGTATTTTACCGCCGTATACGGTCACGAGTCACGACTACGGCATAATATGAAAATCTATTATTATTATATAAGCCATTATATTATTATCAACATACGTTACGGCCAATATCGACGTATACGTAAGTAACTGTTGAGTACCTATAGTTTATATTTTGACGTCGTGTTGCGTGGGACAAGAGTATATACTATACCCACGGGGCACGGACTGAGATATAATATTATAATTTATAATGGACTGGAAACAGTGGAAACGGACAGCTTATCAGTGGTCTCGAAAGTATGTCAAGAAGTAAATGCGGGGGCCGGGGGGTCGCAACCATAATCGAGAGTTTACAACGCCATCTGTTGACTAAATATTTAGTCAAACTAAGATTTTAATTATTTTGTTGCAATTTAAATAATATATTACAATTTTACAGGGAGGCAGTGGCGCAGGAACTATTTTTCATAAGGGGGGGCAAAACATGAAAAAAAAACTAACTATTATAATATATTTATTTGTAATTGATAATAGAAAACCTTTCTTAATATTTTGTTCTTTTAACGTTAATATAGGTAGTTTAATATATAGGTATATACATAAATATATGTATATATTTTTTTTTTATTTAAAAGTTTACCAGCTAGTTTAACATAGCAAAAGTTTACCAATATATAAATGTATAAATTTAATGATTCAATTTATACATTTATATATTGAAACAAAACATGAATCATATTTACGTTAGGTAAACCTAAAGTTAAAATAACAGTATCTAAATAAATATAATAAATAAGTTTTAAAAGAAATATATTTACTATATACCTGTAGTTGTATTCAAAAGTAACAATATATTATACAGAAATATAAATAAATTAAATATAAAAAATGTATTTAATTTATACCTTAGTCCTTAAGTTATATTCTAAAAATCTAAAGTAACAATATGTCAATATATAAACAAATATAAAATAAAAATAATAAAATAAACTTCACAAAGGTTATTTTTTTAAAAGAATTACCTATAAAATTAATAAAAATTTCCAAATGTTGATTTCCTTTCTGAAGTTCTGGAAACAAATTCTTTGGCAATTAACTTCAAATCAATTTTTGCTGTCATAGACTTATGAACGTGTAAAATCATCGTATGAGTTAATCTCTTTTGGGTCATTGTGGACCTCAGATATGTTTTTAGTCTTCTCAATGCACTAAAAGAACGTTCAGCAGTCGCTGCAGATGCTGGTATTGTTAAAATTAATTTAATAAGCTTGGTGATTTCAGAAAACAAAGAATCTTTTACATTTGAATATTCATTTCTCAAATGATTTATAATATCTGAAATACTAGTGATAGATACTATAGACGGTAACATAATAAGCTGGGCATGGAGTTTATTAATGTCAAAATCCTCACTCATATTATTTAAACAATTAGTAAGTTCTTGGTGAGTTCTTGTGTTTTGATCTACAAGTATGTGTTCTAATTTAACCAAGTTTTTTAGACCTTGTTGATTAAAACGCCTATCAATTTCATTTATCAAATAGTCAATTATTTCAAACATATCTTTCTTCAATTCACATATTGGTGATAATTTTGTAGGAGGGTTACTTGTATATTGAAGTCGTTTTGGTGTTTTTTTTATACGCTTAGTGTCATCAAGTGGTTCTAATTCATATATTTCAGCATTTAAATTCACGGTATTTAATATCTTTTCAAAATATTCATTACTTCTGAATGATAGTAATGTTTTCTTTAATGTATCTGCAGCTTTAATTGAATCTGATGCGCAAAATTTAGGATTTTGTAATACTTTTGCTAATTGTTCTACAGGACCAAAAATATGTATTGCAATAGTCAAGTGTTCTGTGTGTTTATTTAATTTATTATTTGTCTTATG